CTATTTATATATTTTTATTACAATCCATTCATAGGATATCTATTATATAGAGTGCAGACATGAACGGACCTGAATATACAACCTGCAAAAGCAGCATTACTAGCATAATCAATAGATAAGCTTACTTCTTAATGACTTGCATCTGATCGATAGTATCAGGAAGCGGTTTTCCAAATGACTCCGGAAGGAAAAGGGAGACAAAGACACCGATGACTGACAGGAAACTCAAAGTCAACCACGGCAGGAACTCGTAGAACATAGCTGCAGACAAAACCAGAGCCCATTATTCAGATTCTTTCTCTGCTACAGACTTCTGTCATCACTGAGCTGCAGGTCAGTTTGTTAGATTTAGAGTTGAGAAGCTGAGCATTAAGGATGCTTTTGTCATTAAAGTGAACTAAAACTTCATCTCTACACAATGACACCTGTCTCATAAAAAAGGCATAAAGGTTCTGTGTACACTACAAAGTGCTCTATCGCAGAATAATTATCCTAGTATGATGTTTACACAAAAGTAGGGATGCTTTGAAAACATGTAAATGAAAAACAGACGGCTATTAAGATTATTAGAAGCCTACAGGGCACTGAATAGAGCACAAGGACATCGTAACGAAAACATGTTGAAACAGAATTAGTTGTTCAATTTTCCATCTGCTGTTTTTTTTGATGCGCTGCACAACTTTCTCAATCATTTCTCGCTCTTGCCTCAAAACGAAGTTTAGCGAAGTTTTTAAAATTTACTTAATTTCAACATTTACTGTCTTGGATTATTTGATTAAAGAGATTTTTTTTCATCATAGCCCACTCCATAGCTTTATTCTTTTCTCAGACTCAAGACCAGTAGAAAGTGTTGAAGAGTAAGCTTAGGACATTTTTAATACAAGTATCATCAGTTGTAACAGTTGTCCCAAATTTAACGTTTTTCTTCTTCTTTTTTTTTCTTTTGTTGGGGGGGAAATGGGGTGATTGTGATGCCAAATATCTCACCCAGCTGCAATATGTATGGGGTGATACAGGACCCCGCTCTGGAGAATAAGGCAGCAGACGACAACATCGTATTCCTGATGACTGTGGGAGACAGCTCTCCAGTGAGCAGCTGCAGGATACTTTCAGAAGCCAGGACTCCAAATTTACCTATCAGCACCAGGGTGAGGGTGATGTTGTGATACTCTGAAGGGAGGAGAAGGACTTTAAGCTTATGAGGAGTGAAACAAGTTATTTTCAAACATTTGGTGAGCAGGTTTACCTTCCCTCAAATAATCTTGTTTTGTCTATTTTGTCTATAAATCTCATTTAGGGCAGCACCTCTAACATAGTGGCTGTGTGTGAGGCCTTGTTGAAAAGGCTTATTGTGTTGATATATTTCAACACAATGACAGTTATATTCACAAAGAGAGCAAGAAAAGGACAGTGGTCTCACTTACTGTGCAAAGTGATCTGGATGAGGAAGAGTGCCAGCGCCCCCAGCAGGGAGAAGACAATAAAGGACACGCGGCGAGGAAAATATTTTGCGCTAAACCAGCTGACCAAGTGTGCTGGGATATCTATTAGTGACAGCAAGGCGTAGTTCAGAAAGGGGTTGCCATAGAGAGTAGTCATATTGAATGATAATCCAAACCAGCTCACATTCAAAGAAAACCTGCAAACAACAATAGAACAAAAAATAAATAAATAAAATCAATCCTGTTAGGATCGCTCAGTCAATTATATCAATAGGCAGTTGTAAAACATGTCAGAGTCACTGATGCCCAAAACCAGCATTCTGAGTTTTCTTTATATTTCTATTCTCTAGTTTTAGTTTCACGTGTACTTCTGTGTGTGGTTTTAGTCTGGTTTATATTCAGTTCGTTGAGTTCATAGATTCATGGGTAAGGCTTTAACTCACCAGAGAAACCACACTACGAGTGTGATACTTCGAGTGGTTGTGTTCCTCAGCAGACCCAGGTAACCAGAAACCTCAGGTTGCTGAGGTTGTTCAGGTTGCTGAGGTTGTTCAGGTTGCTGAGATTGTTCAGATTGCTGAGGTTGTTCAGATTGCTGAGGTTGTTCGGGTTGCTGCGACTGTTGAGACTGATCAATGTGCCACATAGAAAATTCATTACATTAGCCAATGTAGTTTAGTGCGGTACACGTTGGACAAGGATAAGGTCAGAGGCTCTTACTTTTGCTGAGCAAAAGAGGTCAGATGGAAATTCCACTCCGTTCTCCAGAGCAGCAAACCTTAGCAGGAGTTCTGCTTCTTTAAAACGGCCTTTGGACACTAGCCAGCGAGGAGATTCTGAAACCAGCCTGGTGGACAGACAGACACAAATGTGTAGTTCATTAGTCAAGTCAGCACAGGTGGAAACTGAAGAAAAATACAAGAGCCTCCTGCTCCATCTATCTGTGTTTGAGAGAGTATTATTTATTCATCAAGCTGATGCTGGAAAAGTTAGAAATTATCTGGATGCAATGAGTTAGAAATTATCTGGATGCCACGATCGTCTTCTTTTGGCTGTCCCTATACGAGTAGCCACAGTGGATCATCTGAGCGCCATAATGATAACTGTAAAAATCTGTGAAAAATGTACTTTGCCAGAAGCCAAAGATTTTTTATTTAACACTTTATGCTTGACTGTGACTGAAAGAATGAGATTGCAGATACAACCTTGGGACTTTGATCATCAAATCAAAACAGGTTTAGCAGAAATGAGCCTTTAACAACGTTCAGTTGGGAGAAGATCTATGGGGAGAACGGGAACTGGAATAAAAAATTATAAATCCCTTTCTTTTGTCTCAAGATCCCCCAAATGGAAGGAAAAGGGCATCTGAGGAAGTGGAACAAAGTGATGGATGGATGGATGCATGGATGGAAGACTGGATGACTGGATGACTGAATGGATGGATGGATGGAGGCGCACATTTAGTTTACATTAGCTTAACACATTCCACAGTTCAACAAATTCCTCAACAACCTTTTATATACTGAACAAAAAAAATCCGCTGAAAAAAATTAGCAAATACTCAAGAAACAAAAATCCTAGTAGTGTACTGAGGTCAATTTACCACCAAAGGGAGAAACAGGCCAGACCAGGCAAAGCCATTAACACTGATAGATGTCTCCAGTTCCTGACTATGTAGGCGGTGCCAGGGAATGCCACCATACCAGCCGCATAGAAAAAGCTCAAACCAAGGCTGCTGAAGAGAACTCTTGGAACATCAACTAGGAGCTCAGCACCTGTGACGAAAAGGCAAAGTTTAAAAGAAATCAGGAAGTTGTACTTAATGTTATATTACAACTAATGTCCAATAAAATATTTTTTTTTCTGTTATCTGTTTACTGCACATGTGTAAATCAGAAAGGTCAGTCAAAGGTTGTGACTAGTTGACTAGTTGACAATACAAGACAAGTGGTTTCCTTTTTGTTTCATTTTGGGTGTTGGCCGAAGGCTTATTACATTAAAAACAGCAGCAGTTGAGCAGACTATCCTAGAAATAAAAAAAACACACTTACCAAGTACAAGAAGAACTATGTAAATGCTGAGCTGACCCATGCCCACCATGAAGAAAAGCACATTGAAGACGGCCCAGGACTGAGCAAAACTCAAAGCGATGTTGAAGACACTTAGTGTGAAAATGGAACTGAACAGAACAGGTTTCCTGCCAAACCTACAGTAAAATACAGCAAGACAGCAATCAGCCACAACATGGGCACATACAGTTTTCTATTTAGATGTTAATGCTTAAAAAATAGGCCCATTAGCCTCAACAGGGCATTAGCAGCTAGAATGACAGCTACCCTGAGGTACCCCTGAGCAAGGTACTGTCCCTACACACTGCTCCCTCGTCTACTTCCTGGGATCACAAAGTGATCCCAGGAAGTAGACGAGAGAGGACATTGGTTGTTTCCACTTGTTGTCGCACACCAGGTTAAACTAAAAGACAGGGTACACATACGGGTGGTCTAAAGCAGGCATAAGAACATAGAAGGAAATACTTGGGCACTAATCTGTCTTCCAGCAGTCCCTGTGCAGAATGTTTGCTTCATTAGCCTCCATGTTGCTTTGTTTTGATGGGTGTGTAACATGAGTTTGTCTCTGTCCATATTTTACTCCTCAGGCTGTTTGACTTCTTATTCCTGTCACTGTTTGTATGACCACAAGTGGCATTAGGCTAAGGTAAACTTTAGAGGATATCCTTAAGCAATAGCTTCTCATAAATTACTGTGTGATGGAGGGATTCAATGTTGCCTTTACTGACTCATCATCTGTAATGACGTATATATATATATTATATATACAGACACACACACACACACACA